CTTTTCGCGATTCACGAGTGCATAAAATGAAAAAAAGTCCAGCAAATTTCAAACGGCCATATCTCAAAAACGACATGGAGTATGACTTTCAAATTTTGCATGTGTTCATATGAGCAACATATCATCATTCTGACCAAATTTCATTAAAATCTGAGGGGGTCACCTGGGGACCTCTGGTTGATTTGACATGGAATGACCCATAGACAACTCTACTATAAAAAATTTCCCCGTAATTGGAGGTGCTTCTATTTCGTAAGATCGAAAGAGAATAAGGAAGTTGCATGGTTGTGGGGCCGTTTGTGCTTGGCGCCAGGAGTCGACTGTTCTATTATTTTTCGAGGGGTGTTTCTCGTGAGAAAGAATAGGCAATTAGTTGGTTTATCCAGGTACTGTAAGTATTCACGAAGTAGACAATGAAATTTTAATGTTAATCATTAATGTAATTATTTTAACAACAAGAATCATATAAATGTATCTTATTTTAATATATATTTAGGCACGATCGCCAAATTATTCCAGAAGACAAATCTGTGTTCAGACGTGCTTTCTACTGTTCTACTAAAACGCGTCTAAAAACACTGTTTGAATAGTGCATCGTTTGGACGCCAATATTCCGTTTTGGCCTTTGCTCCTCCCCTTTAACTATGGCCGGTTGGATGCACCGTAAAACGCGTCCAATTATTATTAATTATTATTATAGACAACTCTCTACAATGAATCATAATACGCCCGACTGCGCGCCACTATACACCCAAGTACGGATTTGTTTGCCTGCTAGCGAACTCTCTTTGTACGCCACCTGTGTGTGCAAGAACTGACAGAAGTAAGTAAACTCAGGGAGGTCCCTGATCAATGCTAAAAAAATAGTCGGTTGGGTACTGGGTTGTCGTTCAGTAGGCCTAGTATCGTGCATAGGTGAGACTATCGTAATATTCGGTGATTTTATGAATTGATGAGCAAATATATTTCCGATTAAGAAGCGTACGAGGTCTAGGTATCGCTTGAAACGACCTCAAACTTTGCTCAAACCGCCAAAGAGATACCTATCAGAAGCTTGCCATTTGATTACCATGGCAATAGACTGAGAGATACCACAGCCAAACATAATGTGTGGTGAGCCTTTTTGACATAGAAAATTTGCATGTACTACTAATACATTAATAATTCATTAAAAAAAAAAATAAAAATTAATAAACATTTATATTGTGTAGAAATTTATCTATTACCACGTAGACATAATAATTTAGATTTAGAAAGCAAGTTTTAGAAAAAAAATTACGCACAAGGAGAGAAAGCCACATGGTCGACCTTTCACCTAGTGCCACTGGTGCGTGATTGTTTTTGTTTTTTGGATGAGGGCCAACTTTCACTGCCTAGACTTAAGAATGTCTGAAGTTGTTGATGTTTATTTAGAAATAGAACACATAAAAAAACCTATTTCATTATGAGTATACATGGAACACAATTAATATACTGTGTTTTAAAAGGTTAAATAGAAAGAGTGATGTAGGCACCATGAATTTAAAAGGTACTGTAGGAATTAGTCCGGTAAACTTGTTTTCTGAATGAAGCTGTAACGGGGCTGTTACAGCTTAGGCCCCATAAAAAAAATTATTAGTTTATCACCCTATCAAAGAATAAAAACTGATAAGGGAGGGAGGATTTTTTTTTTTTTTTTCCTAACCCTGCCCCCATTTTACCGATGATCACAAGTAAATCAATGGTTAGAGACACATATATAAAAAGTCATAAGAATGGAATCAAATTTATATTTTAAAAATATGTTTTTGTTGTACCAGTAAACATATTTGCAAGAAATCCTAAGCTTTTCAAGTGAAAAAAGATAGAAAAAAGACCGTTTGAAATTAAAATATATGTTGATTGGAAAAAAAAAATAAAAAAAAAAAATCATCAGATTTTTCCCAAAAGTGATGAGGGAGCGGGTGATAAACTAATAATTTTTTTTATGGGGCCTTATTGCCCTGGGGAGAACACTGATTATGACAAGTTATTGTCCTGGTTATTGTCTTTACAGTATCTAAATTTTACTAGTCAACTAAATATACATCTCTCGATTCGGAGGACCTACATTAATAATAATAACAATAATAAGGTAAGAACTTATATAGCTCCATTTAAAAAACCGAAGTAATTATCAGTGTAAAGAAAATGCACTGCTGCATAGTATCACTAAAATGGTCTAGATCTAAAATCACTCTCACAATACGATGTTCGCTACGATGTTCGGTTTTCCGGAAAGATCGGTTTGTGGAACATTTCTATTGAATCCTTTCCGAATAAGGCAGGCCAGTTAGGGCCAGCCTAAGCCTAGACGCCAAAAATAGGCTTAGCAGCATAGATAGGCTAGCCCAGTGAATTCGGTATAACTAGCCTACGAAAAAAGTTAACATTTAACATATAATACGTACAGTACCTGTTGTTTAGCTGTAGTGCACAGCAAATTATATTACTGTACCAAAAAACGAATGCTTTTATATTGTTTTACATGCATTTTCGGTCTGACATTTTTTTCTAAACTGTAAACACAACACTTCTTCGTGGTCACGACGATGTGACTTGTTGTAAATATCAGGTCGCGCCTTGTAAACTCTGCCCGCTAATTGGTTAATTTTTTCGTGGGGTCATGTTGCTGGGCAAAAATCCCATGAGCTTGGCTGTGGTGACGTCAGATTGCCCAAAGTTTCATAGTGCGTGACAGCTTGCTGACAGGAACAAGCTTAGTGTAAACCGATAAATCTTTAATTAAACAAATTTAATAAAATGAATAAGAAACCCTTGTGGTTTTGTTTTAGAGTAAAATCTAAAAATAAATCTAACAAATTAAAATTTGATTCTCTGCAAATTCCCTCCGTAATTAGCAATGTTTTGGGGAATGTGAGTGTAATTTACATGTAGACTGATATATGAATCTAATGACTACCAAATCCGAACCGTCGTAGAAACAATTGCTTTGAGTTCCTTTTTCATTTCAGGTTGATTATACAGTCGATTTTTAAGTATTCATAGGCGATAATGCACTTTATTAAAACAATGGATGGCGTAACTTTGACTTTATCCAAATCCCTGCTTTATCTAACATATTACTGGCGTGTCGTTTTAATTAATAGATAATCTCCATGGCAATGCTATTGGGACTGTACGAACGGTTCATTTACAGGGTGTGATTATTGCGTTATTTCATCTGGAAATCGTTGCGTTGTTTATTAACTTTTAGTCCCACGTTGCATTGTGGAATGGTTACATGACATGGATGTATTAACTTCACGGTGCTCACACAAACGGAAATCAACTTCTCCTTGTCGCTATAACATGCGGAGAAGGTGATTTCCCTCTGTACGTCTAGCCATGGATTCCTCTATGGTCTAGGCTAGTGCGTAATGTTCATCGGTTCGCCTTGAATGACTAAGACCGAGGCTGTTCGTAGCGGACATTAACATGACAATAAACAGAAAATAGCGATCTTGTTGACATTATCTGTGTGAAAATTTTTGTAAAGACATCGTTAAGAGGTGAATGATTAAAGCTTTTGGTATTTAGTTAGACATTTTAACTGGTCACGCGGACTTGTTATTGGGATAATTAACAGATCCGCCATGCATTTTACTAGCCATTGGCCGGCGGACCAGCGTTATTTCGAACCCTGTGTATGTATAAGAAAGAATAGGAGCTGCATAATAACATTATTTGAATCGCCAGTATTTCTACGCACTCAAGTGGGCAAGTTGACCATGCTAGTAGTAGTAGTAAACAATAGAAAATCGTTCAAACGATCAACAAGCGTTCAAGCGATTCACTGTCGTCCTGACGCGAGCCGTAATTCAAGCTCCTAGCAAATGAATATTCATGTAGTATGGTAATTAGAATGGTTGATTTCTTAGACGCGTTTGTGATAGTGTGTTGACCTATACACGTTTTTGCCATCTGGAATAATTTGGCGATTGCGCCTAACTGTACAATTCTGAATTGCTGGCATATTATCTCCTTACGTTTTAGATGTATTCACTGCACAATTAAAATACTCGTACCAAGGACTTTTTTCTTGCCCATATTCCTGATTGTAAAATAAGGCCTGCATGGGCGAATAAATTGACCATAGAAATCCGCCCACATATTTTGGAAAATAAAGGCTGTTTTCTACGCAATTTCTGATGAAAATCAGGTATTGGCTTATAAGATGATATTTTTTTAATATCTTGTTTAGAACATCTAATTTTTTTTAGTGTTTGGCGGTGGACGGGAGAAATACAAAAATATTATTTTTTAACTTAGCAAAATTATCTTGCCAAAAGTAACAGAGTACAGGAGGGACAAAAAAAAATCCTCATAATTTCTTTAAGTATTATTTCATATTCTAGACCACCCAGCCTTGCAAGCACCATGAAACAGTACACATCTCTATCTAGACTCAACACAGATGCATTATTTGCTATAAAGCATACCATTCTAGGCTGTGATTGGTTGATACACACAATATGGAATATAGAGACCATTTGCAATCTGACCAATGACGAACACCCTTTCTTAAGAAACCCATCCCAATAGCAAGAGATATGATATAAAAACATACAATTTCATGGATTTCCCGACAATATTATCGAAAAACTCTTTCCATATTTTAAATTTCTCAAACCTTCTCTTCTATATTATTACAAAATCAGCCTAATTGCGTCACAAATGAAGGCCCTGATAGAAATCGCGTCACAAATGAAGGCCCAGATAGAAAAAGAAATGACTTCCAAATTCGCTCAAAATCATAGTACAAACAAGCCCTCTCCCTCAGGGAGTGGGCTAAAAATTGTAAAATAAAGGTGAACCTGGTACATAGTAGCAAATATGGACATTAACACTACATGGTCTACACTGAAATATTTATTATGTATTCATCAAATGGATGGTTATGATTAGATGGATTGTTTGTCAAGAAGGTTAGTGATATATGTGTTGGCCTGATTTATGTGTTGGCCTGATTGTGGACTTACTTTAAAATGTTCCCTGGCCTATCCAAGCAGTAGAAGGTTACAATGTGCATTTATTCGCTGTGGTGAAATGCACATGCATATGCTATCTAGAAGTTGCTCTTGCTGTGGTGTCATTTCAGCAGTTTCCTGATTTTTGTAGTTTCAAGTGTCTGACAATGAATATTCATTATCATAATACCGTACATCATTGTGATGAGACCGTGGTCTGGTGAATTATGCAAATGAGTCAACTAGCAAACAGCCTGTAACACAAAAATGATATTAGATTTAACAAATATTAAGACTTACATTAATAATAAAAATGGTAAAAGTAAATGTGTAATATTAATTTAAATTAATTCTCCCTTAAAATAACATTATTTCATATGGTTTGTATTTATATATATTCAACACCAACATCAGTTGGATAAAACTTGACTATAACACATCCCAATGTAATTCTCTTCAACCTTCTCATACAGCATTCTGATAGCATGGATAATACCTCCATAATACCAGATTGAAGTTTCATGATATTGGGTAAACATCATTTATAATGATATTGTATTGCACAAGTAAGAAAAACTGTAAAATTGACATTTATTGTACATTCATGGAATGGATGGTTATGATTAAATGGATTGTATGTCAAGAAGTTTGTAACACATCCCATATTAATACTTGTTAATCTTGGACAGTCTTCTGATTGATAGCACAGAGGTATTATACCTTCATGCTATCAGAGAGAAGTTTCATAATACTGGGTAAATATAATTTATTATGATGATGATATTGTATTGCACAAATAAGAAAAACCGTAAAATTGAGAAGATAAGAATCACTCATATAGTACAATATTTAATTAAAGATTGGAGGATGTTTTTAATAGCATTATTTATTGCCCTACATGGTGAAGAGAATGGAAAATTAAAAGAATATTTAAAACAAAAATTTTATAACATTTATGAAAACAAAATTGAGATTATTAACTACAGTATGGATATACTGAGCTCAATCTAACCTTTGCTTTTGATAGCCAATTGAATTTGTCTTTAGCCAAAATTTGATGAAAATTATTGTGAATACACCTAGATTATGCCAGGCTCAGGCCTGTACTGTAATAGGCATATAATATAAGACTTGCAGGCCTATAAAAGTGAATGGGTGCGTCGGCCAAATTGGAACTGGCCACCACGATAAAAAGGTTGAACACAAGTTCAAACCACTAGACCTAAAAAAATTGAGGAGGGAGAATTTGCAGGTGAAGAGCGCCCCCACTTCCCACCAATTAGTAAAAAGCGCCCTCAACATCGAAATATTCTGATAGTATTAATGTCTTTATAAACGTAATTTATAAAATATCTATGGCTTTTCATTCATGTGGCCTAGTAATTTCAACTATTTTTACTGTACGTTATTATATAGACCTAGTTTTTGAAATTCGAGAGACTCCAGATCGAATCTGGAGCATTGGTACGTTTGTGAATACCCAGGGCCTAGTGGAAAGAAACCCGAAAGAATTGACGGCCGTACAAGTACGAGGGCACATTAGCGCTGGCACACAAACAATATTTATTTTTGAATTGTGTCTCACTTTCCAAAAATGGGTCGCCAAACTTTTGCGTTGGGTCACGAGCAGGTTTGCAAAAAATAATTCAATTTATGTGCTCATTTTCAGACAGTTGATGTGAAGTTTAACTGGTCTGACGACATAAAAACAGTATTTTTAGGTGAATCCTCCTTAAAACAAAATGTTATTAGATGCCCACAATGAATATTTTGGAATTCATATCACTCTTATTTTTCTTTGCCGTTTACCACAACTTAATTATGAAAATCTACTGTAAGCTTTCAAATGAACAGGTTATAGAAAATAAACTTAAAATAAACAGAAAATTACTGGTGTTACTATCGCTATACCGTCATAATTATTGGTTAATAAACTTTTAAACCATAAACTTTTAACCTATGATTAAGCTTCGTAATTAATCATTTGTTAAAAGTTCAGGAACTTCTTTGCCTTTTTTTTTGAAGGGGGAGAGGCTATACCCTGAATAATACGTACATCTATGATTTTAAAATCGCTGAGGCCAGTATCCATAGGAATGACTATCTATAGACCATTTCTGAGAAATTTGAAATGAAAATTTCCGGCAACCTGGCAACTACCATGGGGGACTTTCAGAGGCCTAGCATTTTGCTCTACGTACTAACCATCATGGTTAAATCAACGATAAATCTAAATTACTAACAAGCTTAAATACTTCAAAATGGAAAACACATAAAATTTTTATAAAATTTTAAAAATTCTAATTATTAAAAAGCTATTTCAATGTCTACATACAGTAATTAGCAAGATCATATCCAGCCTCGAATTTTACTGCGGCCACCGCGGCCATTGTCGACGGTGCCTTCCAGTTGGCCTTGGTGCCCCTGAAAATGAAGCACGACTACGGCCACTACTTGCCTGCCCTTTTGAAGCCTTGGCCTCTGTGCCCTCATGATGCTTAATATAGATCGTTTGACATGTAAAATAAATCTAAGTAAGAACGTTTAAATCTTAAAAGAAAACAGGAAAGCCAAAAACGTAGGTCGCCTAAGCTAGCCTAGGCTAGGTTGCAGTGACAGAACAGAACATGAGAGAATTTCCATGTGTGTTGATAACCTTATTCGGAAAGGATTCAATAGAAATGTTCCACAAACTGATCTTTCCGGAAAACCGAACATCGTACCGAACATCGTATTGTGAGAGTGCACTGTACATACAAATAGATTCCTGTATTTATATTTCGCGGCATAATTTCATACAGAGACAACAGAACGATTTTTCTGTATCTGTCAGTGTTACTTCATCGGTGATGGCCAGCATGATCAGCATGTCACAAATATGGTATTTGGGCCTTTCGAAGTTGGCAAGATAGTGGCTAGGGAAAGGGATTGAGGACCAGTCAAAATATTAATTTACTGGTCCACTTGGCTAGTTAAAAAAAACCTTAAGGGAAACCCCTGCTGTGGAGTCTTTACCCCGAATCAGCTACATTAGCTGTGTCCTCTTTGCGCTTGGTCAGCCGGGACCGGTGATGCCACCACAGTGGAGCGGGGATACCAGATTGTGTTCCAAGAAGAAATGAAAGAATTCAACCAAGCGGATATCGTTAACGTAAGCGTCGAGGACGTCGAGGAGTTAGAAACCGTTTAAAAAAGAACATACACCAACTACCACTTCCAGTTATTACACTTAGTAATTTACGGTCTATCAGTAATAAGATAGACGATCTTCAAGCTCATACAAGATTCATTTCTGATTTCAGGAACTCTGGAGTACTATGTTTTACAGAAACTTGGTTAAGCCCTGATGTACCTGACTCTGTTTTAAACATTGATAGTTTTGATTTAGTACGTCTTGACAGATCACCTGAAAATACTGGTAAATCCTGCGGTGGAGGCATTTGTATGTATATCAATAGGCGTTGGTGTACAAATATTAAAGTGAAAAAGCGATTATGTAACTAAAATATTGAATTGTTATGTGTGGCTCTAAGACCTTTCTACTTGCCACGAGAGTTTAACCAAGTCCATATAGTACTAGTGTACATTCCACCTGATGGCAACGCTGAGGACGCAGCCAAAGATGTGCAGGACTGCATTCAAGAAGTATCTGGTGATTTGAATCTCCAGACTCACCAAAGTTTGTTCTTGGAGACATCAATCATAGTGAGAAGGCTCTGCAGTCAATACTTCCCACATATGAACGTTGCATGAATAAACCGACAAGGGGGGGATGCCATCCTAGACCAGTGTTTTTCCAGTATTAAGAACGCTTTCAAATGCCATATTCGACCTCCAATAGGAAAATCAGACCACAACGTTGTGCACTTGCTACCAGTTTATTTGCAAAAGATAAAAAGAGAAAAGGTGACTAGGAAAGAAATCAGGATTTGGAACGAAGATAGCATTGAAAAATTAAAATCATGTTTTGAGGACACGGACTGGGAACAGTTAATTGATAGAGGAAACTTATCAGAGTCTGCAAATGTTGTTAATGAATACATCCATTTTTGTGTAAATCAAATTCTGAAAACAAAAATTATCAAGATTTATCCAAATAACGAACCTTGGATTACAAGAAATTTGAGGGAAACAATTAAGGAACGAAACAATGCATTTAAAATGGGTGACTTGGCACAGCTCAAAGGTTTGAAAATTCGCCTTAATAAAGAAATACAGTAAGTCAAAGGAAGCTGGAAATCATCAGTCATCATACCAGTACCCAAAAACCCCGGCCAGCTGAATTCAATGATTTTCGCCCAGTAGCATTAACTTCAGTTGTGATGAAGACATTTGAACGTCTAATTACTAAGTTGTTGTTTTATCCACTGATGCCACAAATAGATCCATTTCAATATGCATATCAACCCCGTAAGTCTGTGGAAGATGCAGTATTGACGCTCATACAATCCATACAACAACATGGAGATAGAGCTGGACATTTTGCCCGAGCAACTTCCATTGATTTTGAGGAGTTCTGTTGAAAGACAACAAAACATAAATTGAAAAAAAGTATAATAAACCGATTGACGAAATTACAATGATCCTAGGCCTAGTGTATATTAAATTTGGCGTTTTCGCAACTCCATTGGCGCTCCATATATCTGTTGAAAACAAACCGCGACCGAAATGAAGCGCAACCGAAGTGAGGCGCGACCGAAACGAAGCGCGACCGAAATGATCTGTATTCGGCTAGGAAGGCCTAGGCCTAGGTAGGTAGGTAGGTAGGGCCTCCTCCTAGGTCCTACGTAGGCCTAGCAGCAACAACTGTAATTTTTTAATGTGTTGAAGTCTACTTACAGATTGTTTAGTAAATCTTGTAGTAAAGTTGCTTTGCTTGTCCAAAACAGTCAGAAATAGAGTGGTAGCCACAACTAAAGAGATACTCTACTGTGATTTTCAGAGAAAAACCCGAAAGCATATTCATATTCTGCATATTATTCATTCTGCGAGCGCCCTCATAGTCTGGGTGCAGTACAGGGTTGCCAGATAGTCGACAGGCTTCACGTCTAGCAGCTTCCTTCACGGCCAAACGTACGCCGTCTCACGGCCAAGTTCTGCAAAACTTTTTATCAACAAATTCGGCCAGATTTTAATCCGATTAGAAGACAACAGTTGGTACATTCATTTAAATACTACAAAAATTATACGAAAATCAGCGGTCATTCGTTTGAAATTGAAGAAATTCAAATGATATACACAGAACAATGTTAAAAATAACTAGAGATACTATGTTCAATAGAACATGAACCCAGTCATTTTTTAAGAGATAAACTGTGACTTTAAGCTCAACCTGTGTGAACACCCCATGTTTGGTAGGAGTCTGTCTAATGCAATTGGTCAAATCATTAGTCACTAGCAACCAAAATGAAAACTTTCCCTCTATTTGCGACAAAAGCTCATTCAGATAAATTTGACCTACATCTTATGCATGAACGCACTAATCGCAGAAAACTCGAAATTCGTTGCTGCCATTGGCCTTAAATTAAGCGCGTGACTCATTCATAGACAGGGTGAAAACAATTCTGAATACAAAATTTTAAGGAAAAAAATGATCAATGGTTATTTAAGCAACCAGCATGGGACTTACATGGTAAAAGAAAGCTTAATTTCTTTTACAATTGAATTCACCCCGAAGACCTGTCGTTGCATCTTTGGTAAAAAGAAGCAGGAAGTATACTAAAAAATAAAACACTCTAATTTTAACCTTTTTCCTATGCAAAGCATAAGAGATAGTCAACTTTGAAAGAAAAATGATCACTCAATTTTGAATTAATTGTAAAAATATGTAGATGATTATAAAGCTTAAAACATCTAGTTTCATAATCCAATCACCCCAGATTGCCAAATGAAACCATTCAAATTATATAGTCGATTATGTGAAAAAAGGGACTTTACTGTGTTAAAGTGTGCAGTGAACTGTTCAGTGAGCAGATGTCCTCAAGGTTTCATTATGATTTGATAGTGACCCTTGTTACTTTTGACCTATAGCTAAAGAGTCGTTTTTCATGTTTAGAAGGTCCTAAGGATAATTCCTGGTAAATTTGAGCTCAATTGGATTATTTTGAAAATTTGACGTCGATGACCCCTATGTAACCCTGATCCCAGACTGAGGTGTAGGAGGTGTCGCCGGTTCTTAATGACGAAATTTGATTGAGTATGTGCCCAGGATAAGTCTATGATGTTATTTGTGACAGAAAAGGTCTCTTATTTATTCTTTTGAAATTTTTTTACCCTAATGACCCCTATGTGACCTTTGACCCCAAGACCACAAACACCCCATGTATAAAAGGTGTCACCGATTATACTGACCAGGTTTGGTTGAAATCGGCACAACCGTTTGGCAATAGTAGCGTTTTGAAATGTTGCCAGAAAAAAGATAAAAATTACCCCTTAATGACTTTTGACCCCTTATCCCTGAACACCCTATAGACTCTGCCTTATGCCAATGTATATGTGCAAAGGACAACACTGTGCTACGTTATTTGTGAGACAAGTAGTCTTTTATACGATTTTTGGTTTTTGACCCTAATGCCCCTTATGTGACCTTTGACCCCAAGTTGTGAACAACACATAAATGGGAGGTGGCACCGGTCCTACTGACCAAGTTTTAATTAAATCGGTCCAGTAGTTTGCCACTAGTAGCCTTTTAAAATGTTGCCAGAAAGAAAGAAAGAACTAGAGATACTATGTTCAATAGAACATGAACCCAGTCATTTTTTAAGAGATAACCACTGTGACTTTTAACCTCAACCTGTGACAACCCCATGTTTGGTAGGAGTCTGTCTAATGCAATTGGTCCAATCGTTAGTCAGTTATAGGTGAAGAGTAGTTTTTCATGTTTAGAAGGTCCAAGGATCATTCCTGGTAAATTCGAGCTCAATTGGGCTATTTTGAAAATTCCACCCTGATGACCCCTATGTAACCACTGATGCCAGACAGGGGTGTAGGAGGTGTCACTGGTTCTTAATATCAAATTTGATTGAATTCGGTTCTGTTTGCCATTAGTAACATTTTGAACCTTTGACCTATGAACTTTGACATATGGGGTGAAGAGTATTTTTTCATGTTTAGAAGGTCCTAAGGATCATTCCTGGTAAATTTGAGCTCAATCGGTCTATTTTAAAAATTTAACCCCGATGTGACCCCTGATCCCAGACTAGGGTGTAGGAGGTGTCGCCGGTTCTTAATGACGAAATTTGATTGAATTTGGTCCAATGGTTTGCCATTAGTAGCATTTTGAAATGTTACTAGAGAGAACAAAGGAATAACCCTTTAATGACCTTTGACCGTAAATCGCTGAACACCATAAGAGCCTACATTATGCCAATACATATGTGCCCAGGACAAGACTGTGCTATGATATTTGTGACAGAAGAAGTCTTTTATTCATTTTTTTGAAAGTTTTTTACCCTAATGACCCCTATGTGACCTTTGACCCCAAGACCACAAACACCCCATGTATGAAAGGTGTCACCGATTATACTGACCAGGTTTGGTTGAAATCGGCACAACCGTTTGGCACTAGTAGCGTTTTAAAATGTTGCCAGAAAAAAGATAAAAAATACCCCTTATCCATGAACACCCTATAGAATCTGCCTTATGCCAATGTATATGTGCAACGGACAAGACTGTGCTACGTTATTTGTGAGACAAGTAGTCTTTTATACGATTTTTGGTTTATTGACCCTAATGCCCCTTATGTGACCTTTGACCCCAAGTTGTGAACAACACATAAATGGGAGGTGGCACCGGTCCTACTGACCAATTAATTAAATCGGTCCAGTAGTTTGCCACTTGTAGCCTTTTAAAATGTTGCCAGAAAGAAAGAAAGAAAGAAAGAAAGAAAGAAAGAAAGAAAGAAAGAAAGGAAGAAACTGCTAAGAAACAGAACCCAGTCAGCTGCTGCTGACTGGGTAAAGAAAGAAAGAAACTGCTAGAAAACAGAACCCAGTCAGCAGCATGCTGACTGGGTAAAGAGAGAAAGAAAGAAGAAACTGCTCGGAAACAAAACCCAGTCAGCATGGTAAATAGCCTATGTTCTTTAGTTGCCGGCATGTAGGCCAATTCAGAGGCGAATCCAGAGATGTCCGAAAGCGGGAGAAGCCGGGGTCCCGATCGAGATAACACCATCTTAGAGGAAATTTGTCTTTTCTAGACGCCCGAAAATAGCTTGATGCGTTTAGGCGATCAATATTTTTTTCCCTTTTTTTTTTACACCCCTCCCCCTTAAATCCACCTGTGCTATTTAAAATCACAATATTAAGATTGATCTAAATTTGATTTAAATGTATTAAATATTAATGTACATTGTAGTCGATCTATAGCAAAAAATTTAAGGGCCTGTTATTGGCAAATCCGTGGCTCTCTTTAATTAGAATGAATGAAGTTACATAGTTAGGTAACACTAACTAGCGTTAAAACAAACCTATGAATACTTTAATAAATACTTTTTAATATAACTTTCTAAATTCGCCTCTGAATATCATTGTCGCAGTACTTAAAGCAATAAATCAATGTTGCTATCAGAATTATCTAACGGTTAGCAGGCTCTGGATCCTGCTAACCGTTAGCTGCCGTACGTCCATGCGAGAAAATCCCGACCCGGATACCAAAAATATGATGATCGAATCACTGGCCAATAAGAAACTGGAAATTGTAAACGCGTGCACGTGTGATTGGTTGCAGAGCTATATATATAGAGAGTTGCGAAAGTCACGTGGTACACACCGTCCATTTTGTGTCATTATCTTCCCGATGAACACATGCAAAGTATATGAGTTACGTACACAGCATATTAATTTCACACACTTAATTGGGTTTACAATTA